GAGACGGGAGGGCCTGGACTGTGGAGCCACAGTGGACAGATTCTGGGTTGTGGGAAGAATTAGCCGCAGAAGCGAGCACTGGATGGCACACATACCCTCTCCTCGCTCATGCCCCAAGTCTGTCCCCGACCCTGCCAGTGAGGGCCCGCTGCCATTCCAATGACAGGAAAGAGCTGGTAGAGCAAGGGGCTCCCACGCTCAGAGCCACCTGGGCACCGCTGGACTTGGGGAAGGGAACTCTGGTTCTTAGTCTGGGGCCCAGCCCCCTGCCCAGCTGGGGCTGTAACCATGGGCCTTCATTGCCCCACTGGTCAAAAGAGTTGACAGCCCTCCCAGGGTTGGTGCAAAGCTTGGACAGGAGACCATAAGGAAACAAGCCTTGAGAATATCAGGCAGGCCCCTGATCAGGGAGACGACAGGGGCCTGTGTGTGGGAGCCCCAGGCAGGCATATCTGCCCTTCCCACTCGCCTGTGTTTGTGTTTCCTTTCCATCACCTGGGCCACCATGACTCACTGCAGGTGCCGTGGGTAAGTGAGTTAACTGGTTGGGGTTGGAGCCAGACCCTTAGGTAAGGCATTCCCTTCCTAGGCCTAGGTTTCCTCATCTGTAAGATGGACAGACAAGCCCTGCTTTGCTCACCTCACTGGGGAACCTGGGGTGGTGCAGGGCCGAGGAGGTGAGCGCCGCACTGGCGTGAGGGCAAGCAGGGTACAACCTTTGTGCTGGGACCAGGCCTGGTGCACATCAGTCTCGTGTCAGCCAGCCGTGAGCAGGGCTTGGAATGTTCAACTTGTCTACGTGGACAAACCCAGTGGGCCTCCCCACTTCTTGAGGGGAACCGCAGGCCTGAGAGAGCTTGGAACAGAGGGCGGGTGGGGTCATGAGAAAGGCCTGGCAAAGGCCTGGCTGGGCCCAGGTCTGGGTGACCTCATGGGGACTCTGGTGGTGCAAGGAGGCTCACACAGGGGAGGTCGCAGAGGCAGGATACCCAGCCCTGCTGTACCCCAACTCCAGCAAGCTCAACCGCCCACAAGTAGGTAGAGAGTGGAAATGCTGGGCCCTGCAGGGAAGGATTGGGAGCAGGGGCAGAGTCTGCTGAGGTTAAGCAGCACAGGCTTCCTGAGGCCGTGGCTCTTCCGAGGCTGGAGATTATTTCGGGAGGGTGGGGTGTGGAATAAGGAAGTGTGTGGAGGCAGGGGTGCTGTGTCTGGGGCACCGAGGAGGAAGCAGGAGGAGGTCAGGGTGAAGTGAGCTGGGGGTGGGGACAGAGAGGCAGAGCTGGTCCGGCTATGAATTGGGAATTCAGCAAATAGGTTTTATTTCCCTTGACTACCACAGGTAATCAACTGGTTTTGAGGCCTGAGGATGGTTCGTCAAGTGCTGTGATTGACCAGTAATGCCTGCCCGGGAAGAATCACGGCTGAGTGGTGAGTCGTCCACACTCGGGCTGACCCTGTGGGCTGGTGTGTGGCCAGGAAAGCCACACTTTCAAATGAATAGCCCCGGGAATCCACCCGGGGAGGCTGGCCAAGGGCCTGCAGTTGCTGCTAGGTGGGCAGCCGGGAGAGACAGGATGACATCGTCTAGTCTCCCTCTGAGGTTCCCATGCTCCCTTGTCCAGGGCAGGTGCTCAGAAAAGGAGCCCGAATGGGAAGAGAGGCTCCCCACCTCTGCCTTCTCCAGGCTCCCTGGGGAGTTCCCAGAGCTCTGCCCTGGCTTCCATCCTGTTGGCTTTTGTCCTCTGGTTCTCCCTGGTGTGAGCCACTCTCCGCCGGGTGGGAGGAGGCTGGATAGGCTGGCTCTGCAGTTGCAGAGCTGTCGCAGGCAGCAGCCTGTCTGTGCAACTCTGCGATCACCATCACCGGGGCCTGGCATTCCCCACTGGGAGGCAGGCAGGGATAGACCCTTCCACTCCATCCAGAACTAGTCAGCCCAGAACACCCCAACCTGGGCCAGTAGGGAAGGGTGGGCCCAGGTGACTGTGGATTCCACCAGCCTCTAACAACCTCTCTGGGTTCTCTGTCTGTGGGCACCCCTCTTAACTGGGTGGCAAGTGCCCAGATATACCCTGTCTACATATCACAGAGAGTATGTGCACATGTGTATTTGACATTTCTGCACGAGAGTGCATTTCCACTCTCTACCTACTTGTGGGCGGTTGAGCTTGCTGGAGTTGGGGTACAGCAGGGCTGGGTATCCTGCCTCTGCGGCCTCCCCTGTGTGAGCCTCCTTGCACCACCAGAGCCCCCATGAGGTCACCCAGACCTGGGCCCAGCCAGGCCTTTGCCAGGCCTTTCTCATGACCCCACCTGCCCTCTGTTCCAAGCTCTCTCAGGCCTGCGGTTCCCCTCAAGAAGTGGGGAGGCCCACTGGGTTTGTCCACGTAGACAAGTTGAACATTCCAAGCCCTGCTCACGGCTGGCTGACACGAGACTGATGTGCACCAGGCCTGGTCCCAGCACAAAGGTTGTACCCTGCTTGCCCTCACGCCTGTGCGGCGCTCACCTCCTCGGCCCTGCACCACCCCAGGTTCCCCAGTGAGGTGAGCAAAGCAGGGCTTGTCTGTCCATCTTACAGATGAGGAAACCTAGGCCTAGGAAGGGAATGCCTTACCTAAGGGTCTGGCTCCAACCCCAACCAGTTATTGTATTTGTGTATTTTTTTAAAATCATTTTGGTTTTGGTCATACTAGGTCTCAGTTGTGGCACGTGGGCTGTGTAGTTGTGGCTCACAGGCTTAGTTGCTCCGAGGCCTGTGGAATCTTAGTTCCCCCACCAGGGATCAAATCCTTGTCCCCTGCACTGGATCACCAGGGATTTGTGTTCTGTGTCTTTCTGCACACACACACACATCTGTGCCTATGAGCATGTATGTGTGAACACATAGATCTGTGTGTTTGGGCCTGTATTATGTGTCCTTAAGAATGTGTGTGTCTGTACGTGCACACACACAGATGTGTACAGCCAGGAGTTCTATCCAGGACAGGAGAGTTGCCAGGCCTTTCACAGTCCACTCCTGGCCTGGCTTAGACACTACCTGTTCTGACTGCAACCCAAGCAGGCACTTCAACAAGGTATGTGGGAGAAGCCATCCCAAGGTTCAGGGGCAAGCAGAGAGACTCCTAGTCTGGGTCTTAGGCAGGGCTCTGGATGGCACATCTCCTCCAGCCTGTGGAGTGGTCCTGGGTAGAGACCAGCTCTGTCACCAGAGCAGGGACCCTGGACTGGAGTGCCCTACCCCTGCCTCTGCTCAGCTCTCACAGTGGGAAAAATCTGCCTTTGTGGAAGCAAGCAGGAGCTCACCCCAAATCTGTGCGAGGATATGAGGGCAAGGAATGGACAACCCTCTCCCGCTCCTGCCCAAGTCACTGAAAACATGGTAGCTCATCTCTAAGAAATCCAGGGGCACCAGTGGGGAAAGGAAAATTTGCTTCCAAGATGCTTCTTCTTGGTGACACAGTTCCTGGGTCACCATGACACATGGACATGGGGTGGGGGGCGGCTGGGGTGGTGCACACCAGTTCTATTCAGTTCACATCAGAGCTCCCGCTGTCACAATCAAGCTGTGCCCCCTGGGAAGGCTCTTCCACCTTGTGGTTCTGGGGCTGAATGTGTGCAGACAGGGCGGATGACTCCAAACGTGTCTGTTGGGTTCAGGCCTGGCAACTAAGGGATGAGGGATGAGACAGAGGTGGCAGGAGGAGGAGTGGACTTGGGGAAGGGAGACAGCCCACTGGACATACAAAGGGAGAGTTTGGGGTGGGGGTGGGGTGCTGAAACTATGACTGTGATAAGAGTCCAGAGCAAAGACGGGGGCAGGGTCCTGGGATCACCTAGCCTAGAGAATCTAGAAGCTGGGATATTTTTCCAGAAGATGGACAAAGGGTGAGTACAAAAAATGTCCAGGCTGAGGAAAGTGTGTGCAAAGGTCCCTGCCCACTCACCACCAGGGACCCACCCTGCCCTTCAGGGAGACCCTAGTGAGTGGGGCACCTCTTCCAGGGGCTGCAGGTGAGGAAGGATCTGAACCTGGAAGGGCGGGAAAGGCCACATTCCTGAAGAGGAGGAATGCCTTTGATCCCAAAGCCTGGCCCAGGCCACCCAGTCCCCTCTTCCAGGATCCCTGAGAGGCTCACAGTTGCAGAGCAAGGCCCTGGGCAGGGGCAGCTCTGGCATCTGCTGTCTGATCCTAAGCAAGTTCCGGTCAGGCTCTGAGCTGTGTATGTACATCAGAGGGTTCTGTGTCTGTCCACTGTCCCTTCCCCCAACACCCAGGGGCAGCCCTGCTGGGATCACTTTATGCATTGTGTCCAGCTGTTCAAGGCTGGAGGCAGGGCTTCCACTCAGGAACCAAGGCTTTGGGCTCCTCTCCAGCCAGGGTGATGGGGGCCCGGGACCATGCTGCATGTCGGATGGCCAGGCTAATTTTCTTCCACTCCTTGGCTTCCACTGTCACTGCCACCACCCCCACCCCCACCCCCCAGATGCTGTCCCTTGTCCTCTACTACAGGAGGATGCCCCCACCCCCAGGGTCTTAGCAGTTCCACACATCCTCACAGGCCTCTCCAGGGTGGCTGTCCCTGAGAGGAGTCCAGAGTGGGAGGGAGAATAGGGAGCCATCACTAGCTAATTGTGGGAAGGTGGGGCTCTTTCCCTCTCCTGGGAGGTGAACAGAGTCCCCTCTCCACTGGGCCTCCACTAATGAGAACACTGCTGTAGTCCACACTCCAACAGGCCCCCAACAAGCCCACCGAGGAATGAGTCATTGGCGAGGAGGTCCTCTCCCATGTGTGTCTGCTCAGACCTCTCTTTTTTATTACTTGGCTGCACAGCCCAGCATGTGGGATCTTAGTTCCCTGACAAAGGGGTGGCATCTGTGGCCCCTTCATTGGAAGCGCAGAGGAGTCAATCCCAGGACTCTCCTTTGAGTGCGGTCTCCATCCCTGCCGACCAGCACCTGGACTACTACCTCCTCACCGTCGGGCCCAGCACCCTCCCACATGGGGAGACCTGAGGCCCAGAGAGGTGAGAACTATCACAATGCATCAGCAAGTAGCAGAGTAGAGTGTGCATCTGAGCCCCTCAGGCTCTGCGAGCCCTTTCCACGTGTTCCAGATCCCCAGACCAGAAGGCACTGCCCAGCAACCCTAGGACAAGTCTGCGTGGGAGGCCAGAGACCTGCTTTTCCTATCACCTCTCTGGGCCTAGAATCTCGGGTGATAAGACCATCAATGACTGCAAGACTCTGGTCTTTCCGGAAGCGTAACCGTGGAAGAGATCCCTGCTCCTCCGTGACACAGCTGTGCAATTGGGATGAAACCTTCAGGTAGCCTCTCCTTCGCGAGGACAAAAGAGCGTTAGTGGGGAGGTGGGTAGCTGGGAATGCTGCAGGGCCGCTCCTCTACGTGGTCGGAAAGCTCAAATCCTGCGGGTTCCAGAGGCACGCACTCCGGCAAATATCAGGCACTACCGCCGTTCATCTCTGACCCTAACTCTCTCCTGGATGTAGAAGGAGGGTGGCGGGGAGCCCCCCAGCCTCGGGCAGATGGGAGGGTGTAACCCCAAGAGGTGGCCGCACTCCGCCGGGAAGGGAACGGACCGGACGGGCTGCAGCATCAGTCAGAACTCCCTCCCCGGCGCAGACTGCCCTGACTCCGTAGGGAAAGCGCGGCAGGCCCCGCGCACGCGCGCCGCTCTAGTGGAGCCGCTTTGTTCCAGGGCTACCTGCGGCTCCATTCACCTCCTCCGCCGAGCCAGCCGGCCTGCCACCCGCAGCCACTGCGGCTGAGGCCCCGCCCAGCCCGCGCTGGGTGGAACTTTTGGCGGACCCCGCCTTCCCTCTGCCCCGCTCCTTAGGCTGCGATTGGCGCTCTGCGTGGTGCGTCCCGCCTGTCGTTAAAGTTGATTCGTGAGTTAGGAAAGGTGGGAGGAGGAGAGCAGATTACAGAGGGGGCCCCCTCCCTCCCACCCCAGGCCTGTGGAAAAGTCACGTGGCGCTTCACTCCGCGCCTGTCACCACTCCGCTTGTAAAGCTTTCTTAAAGGTCCCGCTGTCTCTTCCCAGGGCCGGTCCTTTTGGGGATTTCTACAACCTAGCCCGCGGAGGGTGGCACGGCACTGGGCCTTCCTACCTTCGCAGCTGCCTAGTTCTGCTTTCCCTCTCGGGCCTGCTAGAGTGAGACGACCCCTCAGGTCTCCAAACGCAGAGCCCTCTTTGGGACTGCAGCCAGCTGAAACGGTGACCGCCTAGGCGCCCTGGGAATGGCACGGAGAAGGTGTTCAGTTCCCGTTTGCTGAACTCGCTGGGAGGTGTTCATGAATTAGTGGAGTCGACACGACTTCGGCTCAGCTACATCGCCCCTTTTCTCCGCTCCATCCCCGGGAGATTTCGGGAATGTAGGGGAGAGGATCCCTGGAGCGGGAACCCCCGAGGACAGACAGCTCTTGAGACAGGCACAGAACTGGGAGCTCTGGGATAGGGACCCAGGAGTGTCTTGGTCGGGCCCCTGGGAGAGTTGTAGTGGGTTCTGGCGGCAGCGCTGAGGCCGAGCGAAGGCCAGGGGGCTGGTCTCCGGGCTTAGGGGACCGTTCGCGTGCCCGCACACCCCGTGGGGAGGGGCGGCGGAGCCGCGGCGCCTTTAAGCTCGGGAGCCGCGGCGCGGCCCCGCCCCCTCGAGGACGCCTAGGCGCGCGGCCGCCTGAGACGCTGTTTAATTGGGGCTGTCAGGCCGCGGCGCGGGCGGAGGGCCGGGCGGGACGGAGGCCGGGAGGCCGGGGCGGCGGGCGTGCAGCTCGGCGGGAGGCGGGCGCCCGGAGACGCGGCCGGGGCGCCGTCCCAGGGCAGGGCTGCCCGGCCCCGGCCCCGGGCCGCCCGCGCTCCCCATGAAAAACCAGCTCCGCGGCCCCCCAGCGCGGGCGCACATGTCGGCCTCGGGGGCGTCGGCGGCTGGGGACACCGGGGCGGGGTCGGAGCCCGGTGCGGGGTCTGGATCTGGCGCCGGCACCGGGGCAGGCGCGGCGGCGGGCGCAGGGGCCATGCCCTGCAAGAGCGCCGAGTGGCTGCAGGAGGAGCTGGAGGCGCGCGGCGGCGCGTCCCTGCTGCTGCTCGACTGCCGGCCGCACGAGCTCTTCGAGTCGTCACACATTGAGACGGCCATCAACCTGGCCATCCCGGGCCTCATGCTGCGCCGCCTCCGCAAAGGCAACCTGCCCATCCGCTCCATCATCCCCAACCACGCCGACAAGGAGCGTTTCGCTACGCGCTGCAAGGCGGCCACTGTGCTGCTCTACGACGAGGCCACGGCCGAATGGCAGCCAGAGCCCGGCGCTCCCGCCTCGGTGCTTGGCCTTCTCCTGCAAAAGCTGCGCGACGACGGCTGCCAGGCCTACTACCTCCAAGGTAAGGGCGGCAGCAAGACCCAGTCTGGAATTGGGGCTCTCCCGTGGCTCCCGGATGCCCCCGACGGAGGCGGCTTTCTCTCCCCGTGCCTGGCCTGTCCAGCCGGCGCCACGTCTCCCCCGCCTGCATCCTCCTCTCCAGGGCTCCAGCCCAAGCTGTGCGGGTGTAGGCTGGTACAGTGGCCCCCTCTACACTCCTTTCCAGGCATGATCTGAGTGGGCTGTACAAACTTTTCCGCGCTTGGGCTTTCTTTTTCCCCCATTGTTGGGGCCATGGTAGCTCCCAGGTTTCCCTGGAGCCCAGCAAAGGAAGGAGAGTCCCCTCCTGGGCACCAGTTCAGCTCCTCCAGTCTGGAATGGGTGTCCCTGGAAGGCCAGGGTTAGGACAGGAGTCTTTAATCACCACCCTCGCCCTTGCCAGGGCAGAGGGAGAGTTTGGGTTGGGGGACTCCGGGCATCCCCCTGTGGGGCTTGTCATTGGGGAATCACCGCCTCTTGGAAGCGCTTGGGGCAGGGCTGTAAGGAGTGTCGCTTGCCCCAGCTCTGGTTTTCCGAGACCCCCGAGTCCCTTAGCCAGCCACTCCAGAGGTGGTGGAAGGGGGAGGCAGCCCTGGGAGGCGAGTGACTGCAGCCGGTGTTTCCAATTAACATTCCAAAATGGCCTCTTGCTGGCAGCGGGGCGGGCAGACGGGAGGGGAGGGGAGGCCTGCGGCACCCTCGGGCGCAGGGCCCATGCTTAGCTGCAGCGCACTCCCCATTTCTTGTCCCTGTAAAGCCCCCAGCAGCCTCCCCTTCTGTGGGTCCAAGGCCAGGTTGGGGGTACCTTGAGTTCTAAGGTGGGTTATGGAGAAGAGGAGCCAGGACCCCTTTTATGAACTTGCTCCTGCTGGGGGGACAGGACCAGCGGATACCTTCACTACCCTCCCTGGCAGTGGTGGGGAGTGGGGGCAAGCGCCAGATTCCCAGTCGAGGGCCCAGGCCCTCTGCCTCGAGCTGACCCAGATGCAGCTCTGGCCTGTGATCTCTTCTTTAAGAGGGTTTGCAAACCCAGAGGTATTGGCCTGAGATGGGGGTGTTTGCTTTCCTTTACTGCTTAGCAATTACTGAGCACCCATGGGTGCCTGGAACAGGGGAGCTGTGGAAGAGACATAGGCTGGACTCTGTCCTCGAGTGCCCTAAAGTCAGTGGTGTGGCTGGGGCCCTGAAGCCCTATGGGGGCTCAGGCATGTTTCTTTACCACCTGGGGTCTCAGTTTTCCCCATCTGTAGAGTGGGCCACAGGACAGATGAGGAGAAAGCAGGAGAGAGGGTACACGTGTAAATACTTAGTACTGCCTGTGTTGTCCATTGGTGATGGTGTGGTCCTTGCTGTGAGGAGCCCTGTTTGGGGACACCGGGCGATGGTACTGTCAGCCTCACACGGGCCCTGTCCACCCCCACCCCCACCCCCCCGGGGCCACAGGTGGTTTCAACAAGTTCCAGACAGAGTACTCGGAGCACTGCGAGACCAACGTGGACAGCTCGTCCTCGCCGAGCGGCTCGCCCCCCGCCTCGGTGCTGGGCCTGGGAGGTCTGCGCATCAGCTCTGACTGCTCGGATGGGGAGTCCGACCGGGAGCTGCCCAGCAGTGCCACCGAGTCAGACGGCAGCCCCGTGCCGTCCAGCCAGCCGGCCTTCCCTGTTCAGATCTTGCCCTACCTCTACCTCGGCTGCGCCAAGGACTCCACCAACCTGGATGTGCTCGGCAAGTACGGCATCAAGTATATCCTCAACGTCACACCCAACCTGCCCAACGCCTTTGAGCACGGGGGCGAGTTCACCTACAAACAGATCCCCATCTCTGACCACTGGAGCCAGAACCTCTCCCAGTTCTTCCCTGAGGCCATCAGCTTCATTGGTAAGAGCTCCTGCGCTGGGGCAGGTGTGCGTGTCGGGATGTGTGGGGCTCTGGGTGTCACCCGTGCCTGGCTTGGGTACCTGTGGGCCTGTCAAGGCTTGTGTGGAGCCCTGCGTGTGCCAGCCTGTGCCAGTGGCTGTACCGGGACCCACTGTGCGTCACCACTGTGAGGCCCTCGGGGCCAAGCGGTCCCCTGATCCCTGGACTCTCCACAGCTGCTGGGGCAGCATGGACTCTGCTGTCCAGACACCTTGGGTTTTCTGGCTGTGCTGTTTGGGGCTCAGCACGCTCAAACGTCCCAGCTCTCAGACCTCCCACAGGTCTCACTGGCCCTGTGTCACACCTCAGCAGATGTTTCTTGAGGATGGGCTGTCACGGGGCCTCTTTGGGCTCGGGGGGCTGAAGGGTAGTCTGGAGCCAGAGGCCTACCCAAACCTGGCAGCTCTTGGGACGTGCTGACCCAGAGAGCCTCGGGGTGGCCTCAGATGTTCCCGGCAGCCTGTGGGGCTGGCTTGGTATCCAGGCGCTGAGGGGAGGCAGGGGAAGGCCTCCCCCAGAGCAGTGTGCTCTGCCATCTGGCTCGGCGCCCTCTGAGCCCCTGCATCCGCAGCCTCGGCTGACTCGGGCTCCTTATCTCTGACCTCCCTGCCCGCTTCCTCCTTGGCCAGCTGGAAGCTATCAGTCGACAGGTCACCGTCCCTGGCTCGGCCATCCCCGGGATTCAGGAAGGGGATACGGGATGAGGGGGTGAATGTAAACCCTGGACTTTCTGAGGCTGGTGACCAGGGTTCTGCCCAGCCTCCGGGCAGCATTTTCCCACTGGCAGCTGTGTCCAGTGGAGGGCGTTTTGGTGTCAGCTGGGCCGGGCTCGCTTTAATAACAGGAAGTGGGAGGCTTCCCCGCCTCATCCGCTTACTGGGAACCAAAACTAGGTGCCTGGCTGGGAGGAAGGAAGGAAGCTGGGGCGGGGGAGGGGTTGTGTCAGGGGCTATCCGGAGCTTCCCCACTCTGCCCCGAGGACGTGCCCAAGAGGGTATGGGTGCCACCTCAGCACTCATGGTCTCCCCAGTGAGGTGTGGGGTGAAGGGGGGTGCCCTAAGACTTTCCAGGGCTGAGCCTGATTTGTAGGTGCTTTTATCTCTCTTGGAGACCCCTTTACATTAGGGGAAGGGGACAGAACAGGATATAGAGGTGGGGGGAACTGTGCTCCCTGTTTGACAAGAGAAGGAAGTGAGGCTCAAAGATCCCATAGGACTCGGGGTGGGGGGTTGTGGGGGCAGAGAGGGGATGAAGCACCAGTCTCCCCAAGACCCAGCCACATCCCTTAAAGAGCTAAAAATAAAGCCAGCAGGAAGTGGTTTTACTTGGGATCACCTGGGTTTGGGGACCAGGCTTCCCCATTATCCTGATGTATCACCACCACTGGAGGCTTTTCTCCCCCAACCCCCTTATCCTGCCCCCAATTTCAAGGTCAGACAACGTGTTCCACGTGAATCTGTGGCATGTGTCTTTTCCCCTGCTGGTCTTGCCCCCAGTCGGTTCCCGAGTCTGGATTAAGCACCTACTGCATGTTCAGCCCCGGGAATCCTCACATGGGGCTGGGAAAAGGGAAGTCCTGCCAGGCCCGAGACAGTGTGTGCCCCCGAGGAGCAGTCTGCGAACCTCCGCATCTCCTGCAGGAATGGGCCTGGCTCCTGGGGCTCAGGCAGGAACCCCAAGGGCCCCAGGGCTGCCTCTGTCTCGTTCATCTGTGTCCCCAGCACAGCCATGGCACAGGGATGCAGCCGCCCTTGCATCCGGGGGTGAGAGAGCATGGGACTGAGCTGGTCAGCGGCTCAGCCAGCGTGTGAGCTCCGACCGCATATCAGGAGCCTGGCCCCACGCTGGGGAGGGTTCAGGGGAGAGTTGACAGAACTTGAGTGGCCGTGCTGGGAGGTGTCACTGGCACATGGGCCGGGGAACAGTCTAGGAAGTGGGCTGGGTGGGCCCCACTTAAGCTGCCTTGGTGAAATGGCGTGGCCCTGGTCTCCCATCTATGCAGGAGCAGGACTCAGGCCCCAGGGACTGGCTGGGCCCAGTCCAGAGCTGAGCGCTGCCCTCTGGTCCATTGTGGAAGGGCCTCCATGACGCCCACGGCCCAAGGAGGCTCTCGGGGCGCCCCTGGAGCTGCCCCAGGAGGTGGGCTAGCAGGGGTGAGTGCTGCATGTGAGGAGGAACCCTTGAGTGGCCTTGTCACTGCGTGTGTCTGCCTGTCTCGTTTATAAGAGAACCTTGGTAGCCATGCTGCAGATGACCTGAGAGGACGCAGGTGGCTCCTCGGCACGTCACGTGTAGCACACAGTTCCGGCGGCGGGAAGACTGGCAGCAGGCACAGGGCTCGCGGAGCCCTGGCTTGGCTCCGACCTCTAAGGGCCCTGTGAGTAAGCCCGTCCATCCAACAGAGCAGAGACTGGGGTGCAGGCGTGGCCGCTGGAGCTGTGGCAGAGCCCCTCCACAGGCATGCTCTTGGCCTCGACCCCCAGTTGCCGTCCCACCCGCCTGGGACTTCACCAAGCCCCTCAGGAGAGTCAGGCGGCACCAGTCCCTTACTGTGTCCCGCCCTGTGCCGACCCACGGGAGCTCCCTGGCGGAAGCACCACCCTGACCCACGCCCATGTGTTGCAGACGAGGCCCGCTCCAAGAAGTGTGGGGTCCTGGTGCATTGCCTGGCAGGCATCAGCCGCTCGGTGACCGTCACAGTGGCCTACCTGATGCAGAAGATGAACCTGTCGCTCAACGATGCCTACGACTTTGTCAAGAGGAAAAAGTCCAACATCTCACCCAACTTCAACTTCATGGGGCAGCTGCTGGACTTCGAGCGGACGCTGGGGCTGAGCAGCCCGTGTGACAACCACGCCCCCAGCGAGCAGCTCTACTTCTCCACGCCTGCCAACCACAACCTGTTCCCACTCAACACGCTCGAGTCCACGTGAGGCCGGGGGCACGGGGCGGCAGGCCAGCCCCGCCAGGGCCCCCACAGGGCCCGCCGGGAGGGCCCAGGCCTGCTGCCTCTGGCCCGAGGAACCCAGGCATCACCTGTGCCCAGAGGTGAGCTTCCCTTGGCACCCCACAGCCAGGCCTCCGCCGGCAGGACTCTCCGGAGGGGCCCGAGGCGATCAGACACATGGCTCTGGGAGCCCTCGGGGCCTCTCCTTGTCCCAGGACACTCCTTTCTGCTGATGGCTCAGCCAGTTTGGCTGTTTTTTTAAAAGACTCATCCACGGACCTGAGTTTACTTTTTACTTTTGGCAGGTAAACCCAAGCTCCCTGGAGCAGAGAGAATGTTGAAGCTCTGCTTGATTGTTCTTTTTTTGTAATGAAAAGTGTTATTTTCAGGCTACATGCAACAGTGGATTGTATAAACCAGTATTTCATCCCTTTCTTGATCCAGTGAGAGAGAGAGAGAGGTGTTACCAGTTTGTTTTTTCTTCCTATTTCAAAAGCAATTCTTGAGTTTTTGTTTCTGTTTTAATGGAAAAGACAAACCCCACGTTGATCTTGACCAAATGCATTTTGCACATGTGTGAAGCCTCCGTTTCTGCAGCAGCCCTTAAAGGGGGTGGCTCGCTGCTCCCAGCAGGGGTCTCCCAGGCCTGCCTGCATCTCCCACCTAGGCCAAGCCCAACCTGGCACTGCATTCGCCTGTGATGACCGCTGTGAGTGGTGGGCTGAACAGGTGACCTCTGCCCACCTACTTGCCCTCTGGTGGTCCCTGCAGACCACCCCAGGCAGGAGAGGAGGCCACAGGGGACTGCCAAGCAGTAGCATTAACCCTCTGGGCTCAGCCCCGAGGAGGGCCCCAGGCCCTTTTTATACATACCCACTACTTCTGTCTCTCTCTCTCTCTGTTTGTAGCTGAGGGTGCAGGCCCAGTGGCTGGGGAAGTTTAGGTGGAGGGCTCAGCCCTGCCTCCCAGGTCTCCTCCCTCACCCTGGTTGTTGCTTGGGTTCCAGCTGCCACTCCCAGCCCCTCGACCAGTGGAAGCCGGCCCTGTGCGCATCTTCCCCATGCCTTGAATTAAGAAACTCACATCCATTTCAATCCCGGGGGTGGGGGGGGTGGGGGGGGGTGGGGCAGCAAGGGCAGACAGGGAAAGGTGTGTGAGGCTGTCCACACCGCCACCCAACCCCAGTGTCCACAGAACAAAGCCACGGATTCTGTCATCCTCCTCCAGTCCTATTCCTTGTCCAAAACTCCGTTTTCCCAGGTGGTGGAACTGCGTGGGGGCCCAGGGAGGGCCGGGGTCCCTGAGAGAGCCAGCAGGCGGCGTGTGAGTGAGGCCACGGAAACTCTGCCCCAATGCATCTTACCTCACAGGGCTGGTCTTCAGGGATTCTTCAAGGCAGCAGATGAAAATCTTGCCACAGTTGAGAAATTGACAAGAAGCTTCCATGCTGTGTACATGGTTCTCTTTCTCTCTTTTTTACCTTTGAAAAGAAAAACCCAGAAAAATGCATCAGATTTGTGTAAATGAGGGTATGCCAACAGGGGTGGCCAGTTTTGCTTTATGATCTTATGAAGGAAAATTTGTGACCCTACATACACACACACACACACATATATATATATATATATATATATCCCGAACCAGCAACGGGACTTTGTTTATATTGCAAATAAATATTATTTTTTCTTTAAAATGAGTGGTGTCTGATAAGGGCCAGGGCAATGAGGAAAAGCACTGTGGCCATATCCGGGGGCCTGCAGGGCACTTACTGGGACTGGTCAGAGGTGCCCAAAGCTGGGAGAAGCAGCTGGGGTGTAGGTCGGCAGGGACACTGCGGCTTTGGCCCCCGGGGTGACAGGAGAGCGAGGCGTGGAAATGTTCCGTGTACCAAGGTCACACAGCAGAGCCCCTGCTTGCCTAGACACACCCAGTGCTGCCCGCTTGGACGCTGCCCAGACCGCCCAGCCGCCCCAGGTCCTGACCTGCCCCTGCAGCCCTGGCCCTTCCTCCTGCTGTCTTGGGGGCGGGACATGGGCTGTGCATCTGTCAACCTCACTCTCCCCGCCACCATCCCCAGGATGCCTGCAGGACCTGATGCTGGTCAGTGAGTGGGCCAGCCCCTCGGGATCCACAGCATCCATTACTGTACGGTGAGGCCAACACACCCCGATGCCCAGGGCATTCCTGTTCGGGCACAGTGAGCCCCGCACCTTCATTTCCTGGTCTTGACCTGGGCCTGTGGGGGGCCTGGTCCATGCCTGGCTTCCCCAGGGCAGCTAAGCTGCAGCCCTCCAGGCGGGCCCCTCTGGAGGCTTCAGACTCAACCCTCGGGTGAGCAGGGAACACCGGAGGGGCCTGGAGGGGTTGGAAGGCCACGGCCAAGGAGCGAGGCCCTCAGTGGGCCCACAGCCCCAAGTCAGAGACAGGGAACTGGGAGCCCTGCCCGCAGGGGCTCCACCTCTGACCGAGTCGGCCCCAGTCAGGAACTTGAGGATCTGGGTTGCTGACTCCGTCTCCCCGTCTCTGCTGCCCCCCTGGCGTTACCCCTTCTGCTGTGCCAGCACTGGACCGGCTCCAGGTGGCAGGTAGGTGGGCACGGCGGGAAGAGAGTGATTCAGCCCCTTTCTTAGGACTCCCCACTCTGGGGCCGCCTAGGCTCCCTCCTGTGTCCCACCCCATCTCGCCAGAAGTTACATCCAACAGTCCAGTCACAGCCTCACTCATCGTCTGGTGAGGGCTGCGTGGGTTCGAACCCCAGCTGTGTGGCTGTCAGCCTTCTCATCTTTCTTTGGCTGCGCTGGGTCTTAGTCTTGGGACTGGGGATCTAGCTCCCTGAAGGGAGGGAACCCGGGCCTCCTGCACTGGGAGCATGAGGTCTTAGCCACCAGACCACCAGGGGGAAATCCGCAGCCTTCCCGTCTTTAGAACTGGGGAACACCAGGCCTGAGGGAGGGGCAGAGGGGCGGGGGCTGCTGTTGCTTGCGGGCTCCCTGGGGCCTGGGTCCTTCTGTGCCAGGGGCAGGCAAGGGGGTGGGGGCCCGAGCAGGCACAGACTGGACCTTTGTTCCCCTGCTGCCCTCCGCCTGGGCTGGGGAAGCCCGCGGGTGCTGGGCTGGGGGCTGGGTAAGTGCCTGGCAGTGCCTGCGTGCCCAGGCACGGGGCTGGGGGGCCGCTGGGGGGAGCGGCCGTCTCCTCCTCAGCCAGTCCTCCAGCCAAGGGCTGAGGGGCGATGCTGCCTGCGCAACCCTAGGCCAGGGGGCCTCTCTGACCCTCAGCGTCCTCATCTGCAGCAGCTCCCACATTATTGCCCTGCCTGGCCGGGGCACTGGGTCCTTGCTCTGACCTTGTCCAAGGCTGCACTTACTCTGGACTGCTGTCCCCACGCTGGCTCCCAGGGCTGGCCTCACGGCCCCTCACTCTGAGCTCTTGTTTCCCGTCTGTGTTGGCCGTGCTGTCCCCGCCACCCCGCGTGCCCTGTCCATCCCAGGCCATCTCGCTGAGGTCTAGACGCCAGCAGGGCTCAAGGACACCCGGCTCCCTCTCGGTGCCCTCAGCCCCATCTCTCTCCTCCTGACCCTCTTTTTTTTTTGCCTCCCTTTGGGTTCCCGTTTGTCCCCATCTCAGCCCGGGCCTCCGAGGACCCCCTCATCCACTTAGCGTTCTCGCGGGAGGATCTGAGCCACTCAGTCCCTCACCTGCACATTCATCCAGCAGCCATTTCCTGTGCCGACTCGGCACATGTTCCCAGGAGTGGGAACATGCCTGAGGGAAGCTCAGTGATGTCAGGCTGGGTGGCGGGATAATGGGGCCTCGACTGTCCTACGATATATGAATCGGGTGCAACAGCAGGAGTGACTAAGGCTGGGCACAAGAAAGAACTTGTAACCTGTGGAGGAGTCACCTTGAGGCGGGTGTGACAAGGAGACCGCAAAAGAGATGAACTCTCTCTGGGGTGGTCCTGTGCTGAGCCTGGGGCAGAGGGAGGCAGCCCTCAGGAGAGGGCCACTCCCCTTCCCCCAGGGCCCCTCCCCAGAGTGCAAACACAGTCATCCCCAGTGAATGGGGCAGGGCGGGGGCAGGTAGCAAGACTGTGCAGGCCGGCCCCCCGGCCGCTGTGTCTGCAGCGGGCAGGCCCTCCGCATCAGCGCCAATGTGGCCGGGAACACAGGGACCCACAGCCAAGCCCTTAACAGAAGCCAGAGACGCTGAGCAGGAGCAAGGCCTGCCCACCCTGCTCCCCCAGTCTTCTCACCCACGGGGCTGGGAGCCTTCTCCCTCTGGCCCTATGGAGGACCAGATCCATGAGCGCGTGCACACATACGGCCCCCTCATTTCTCAGACAAGACAAGCCCAAGCAGGTCTCAGGGTGATGAAGGAGCTGCCTGCCTCTGACTCCAGCCTCCTCTCATCAGGGTGTGGCCGGTGAGGTCATCCCTTCCCAGGCAAGGCCATTACAGACCATCATTAGTGACTCCCCAGGGGTAAGATGAGGCCTCAGCCCCACTGTCTCTGGCTGTGGGCCAGATGAGCCCTGACGGGCGACAGGGGATGCCAGCCCCTGCCAGACCCACTTTGCTCAGGTAGGCAGTCCCCTTCCCAGGGCTGCTCTGTCACCTACCCCCGTGGCGTTTGGGCATCTGGAGGAACCCCATCCGCCCGCTCCACACCCACATCTCCTTCTCCAGTCCCAGGGCCGTTCCACCCCTGCTGCAAACCAAACAGGAGTCACAGCCCCTTCTCCGGGGCTGGATGGGCCAGGAGGGGAGTGGAGGGATGTGGTCCAGAGGACAGGGGAGCCCCTAAAGAGCTGAAAGCCCAGGGCTGGCAAGGTCTGGTTGTCACTAGAAAGACCCCCTAGAATGTAAGGTGGTGCAGCTACTGTGGAAAACAGTACGGAAGTTCCTCAGAAAACAGAAAGAGAATTACCGTATGATCCAACAGTCCCACTCCTGGGCATATACCTGGACAAAACTATAATCCAAATAG